AGGGACTTGGGGACAGAAGTGTTTTCCCAGGTGACATTCATAGTTCAGCAGAGAACAGAGCCAGGGTGCCCCCTGCCAACTCCCAAGAAGAGCGGAGGTCTGACATTCAGGGGAAAGAGGATCCCAGCCAACAGGGACAGAACTGAGTTTTTCTGTACAGTTTGGTTTAAAAAAAAAATGTAAGTGGGGAAAGTTAGCCCCGTTGGCACGAAGGCCAATACTTGCAAGACGGCCAGAGGCCTGTGGCCGGGCCTTGGCTTCCAGAACGTGGTGCTGTTGTAAGTGACACCTCCTCGTGCAGAGGACAGACACCTGCCCGGAGGCTGAGGACCTGGGGTGCACTCCTGGCCCCGACACCAGATTTGCTGGGTGATCCTGAGCAAACCTCCCCTCTCTGAGCCCGTTTCCACCCCCTGGAAACAAGCAGGTGGGCCTAAATGGTTCCGAAAGCCTGCATAGCCTGAGGGTTCTGGATCTGAGCTCATCTGCCATCCCAACTGTCACCGAGGTGGCCCGCGCAGGGCCCCTGGTTTTCCTCATCTGCAAACGCCGCTCCTTCTGGCTCCGTGGCTTTCATCTCCTCACAAAGGGCTCAGGGAGCCCGTCTGGAGCCCGGGGTGTGCAGATGCCTTTGCTGGGATGCCCAGCTTCTCCTGTCCCCAAATGCCACTGCCCAGACATCAAAGTTTCTCCACTGTCTGGGGGGGAGGGGCGGGAGGGAGGGTGCCTGAATCAGCCATGTGCCCAATTCTGGATTTGGCTTCCATTTCCCGTTTCCGCACGGGGCCCAGAGAGAGGAGAAGAAGGAGAGAAAAGCCTTTGAAAAATGTCTCCTGCTCTGTTCACTCAGCAATTCACCTCGCCGCCGAGCCCAGCGACACTCCCATGGTGCACCTCTTAGCCACTCGGCAACTTTTCCCTTTTATGATATTTTGGGTTTCCGATCGCCTGCCAAGTCAAACCTTTATCATTTAATAAGCAGGAAGAAAAAATCCAAGTCAGTCCCAGAGCCCTGGGTCCCAGTCTAAATGGGCCCCGTTCCTGTCCCCTGCCTTTCCCGGGCTGGTCCTGGACCAGGGGCCAGCGCTGATGCGACCCACCCAGATGCGGGCAGGCATCAACCCCACTGGGATCCCATGGGGCCATTCTGCAAGTGTAGTCATGGAAACGGCTGGGAGGCATGAACACACAGCACTGTCGTCGGGGAGCGCTTCGCCAAGCAGTGGTGGCGATGGGCGGTCGTCACCAGGCGGCCGAGGAAGGCAGCAGACACGGCATCGCACGGATCCCCACACCCAGGACCCACAGCAAGTCAGGGCCCTGGGATGAAACCGCTTCCCGACCTCCAGCCCCAGGACGGTGGGACTACTTCCCTTGTTCTCTTGTCTGTCTTCCTCCTCATGTGTCTTTGGGGCCTGGAACATAGTAGATGCTCAATGAATGTTCCTGGACTAGATGACTAAATCTGATTGCACCTCTCATGCTGCAAATGGGCAAGTTCGATCATCTACGAGTCTCGGGGACAACAGTGAGTCACTGAAGCCGTCTCGCTCTCCTCGCTCTGTAATTTCTCGGGAGGGTGGGTTTGGATGAAGGGGAGGAGATGGAAATTGAGCAGAGAACGGCTCTAATGGTCCCCGTGTCCCCACTGTGCCAAGACCCCTGGATGCCAGTGTGGGAGGGTTTGCTCAGGGCACTATCATCTTGGGCTCTTCCCCAAATGCCTGGCCGTGCACTGCAGTGGCCACGGCCTCCTCTCCCAGGGAGGCAGTGTGCGGGCCCCAGGTGAACTGTTCTAGCTCCACTTTCCAGCTCTGTCCCCTCTTCTCAGCAAGGGCACTGCTGTGGGAGGGGCCAGAAGACCCTCGAGCAGCTACCTCTTCTTGGCAGAGCCCATGAGTTTGAGGGCAAAGCTGTGCCCCCAGAAATACATCCAACGGCAGCTGGAACCAGGAGAAACCTCCAGGGAGCTGGTTCTTCTATCCCTTCTTCCCAACGATGGCTCACAGGGTAGGTCTCTCCGCCCCCAAATCCAAAACCTGCCCTCAGGAGAGGGTCAGACAACTCACCCAGAAGGATCAGAGGCTGATGGGAATGAATGTGCATTTCCCCGGTGTGAGGTGAGAAGACAAAGGAGTTAGTTCCTAAAGGTGGGCTTCCCTGCCCCGCCACAGTGCTGACTTGGCCGCAGCCAGGCTGACCTTCCAATTGCACATCCCCAGGAGGTAAAGGCCGTGGCCACTTCCTGGTCCCGAGACGAGCAAAGGGAAGGGGCTAGTGTGGTCAGGCCCAGGGAGGGGGCTGGCAAGCTTCAGTCCCTTCAGGCCACAGCCTATAGTGACACGTCCCCCCTGAGCGCAGCAACATGCCCCATACCTCCCATACTCTCAGAGGAGAGGTTTCCGGCCACCTGGGGGATCCTGCCCGTTCAGATGGCGTCAGGCAGGGAAAGGTGACAGGAAGCCAGTCTGGCTGCCAAGCACCCCAGGCCTCCCTCAGTGTCAGCGGGGGTCTCTGGCCTGGGTCTTTGGCAGAAGCTTCTGGGGAGAAGCTGCACCCTGAGGATGTACTTCTCCACTCTGTGGGGCCTCTGTGCACACACCTCTCCAACTCAGGTCTTTTCCCTGGCAGAATCACTTAAACACAAAAAAGTTGAGGCAACAAAGTGCCCCGAGCTAGGGAAGGGCCCTGGCCCCCTCTGTAGGGTCCGTCCTGAGATCCCTGGGGGGCTGGGCGAGGTGGGCTGGCGGAGTGCTGTCGCCCCAGGAAAAGCCCAGGCGCTCAGCGGAGCAGCGGGATGATCAATAAATAGACTTGGGCCGCTGCTCCAGCCCAAGGGCCTGTCTAAACAGAGGGACCGAGGGACGGAGGGACGGAGGGACAGAGGGACGGAGGGACGAGGGATGGAGAGAACGAGGGACGGAGGGACCGAGGGGCCCTGGAGCTCAGGAGGCACAGGCAGGGCTCTGCTGCCCACAATGTCTCCTCTGGCCAGCGGCCTCCGTTGTCTGTGCAGCAGTGACCGGTTCAGGACGTGGGGAGCAGGCGGGGGTCCAGACAGCATCCCCCGCCTTTCCCTCCCTGTGCCTCCTCCTTAGGGGCAGCGGTGGGGCAGGGGGCGCACAGTGGAGCCTACCTGCCCACTCCCCTCCCTCCTCTTGGCTAGTCCCTGGGATGAGCCCCCGAACCATCTCCGGTCCCTTGATGCTGGGGAATCTGCCACCCTTACCCTGGCGCCATCTGCTCCCTCCTCCTGGCACAGTCCCAACCCACTTGCCCTGCCCCCTTGGTTAGCCAGCCATCCTGGGTTTGCCCTGGCATCTTGGCTTTGCCCTGCTTGCCTGTGGTACGCTGGCTCTGAAACAGTCACCGTGGTGCTGCCCGGGGTTCTAACAGGGCCGGGCAGGCTCTCGTCCTCTCCGGGCTCCCTTCTTCCGCGGCGGCGAGCACTGACGGGCTCAGTCACCCCCTCGGAGCCCCTCTGCCGGGGCCTGGCTGCCCTTGGGGGATGCCCGTGGTTTACTAGTCTTCTGAGTGTGCACGCACACGCCCCGCTGGGAAAGGTTGGCCTCTGTGTGAGCGCCACCTGCCCGTCGCGTAAGCGGAGGCCCGTGGCAGACCCACTGGGTGGCGCCCGCAGGGCCGCAGGCAGGGGAAAGCCCGGAGTCGGTGAGCCCGGCGGCACTCACCACTGCACCACACGACCACCGTCAGCGTGGAGAGGGGCCGACGGCCGTCCTGGGGTGTCGATGGGGATGCAGCTCTTCCCCTCAGACGCACAGCCACGGGGACGTGACCATGTCACCCACGGGGAGTCACAGGAAGGAGAGGGGTCAGTCCCAGTTCCGCGGGCTCCTGCGGTGTCGGGGAGCACCGTCCGCAGCGGGCTCACGGACCCCCAGGCGCCCCAGACGTGCTCCTCACACCCTCCCGGCACCGGCCGAGCGGACAGTGTTCTCTTAAGAAGTGTCTACTTAGTCTCGCTCCAGACCACAGTCCCCCAACCACACACTCAGCTGAAGGGGGAGGCAAGTGGGCCAGAGACATGGCACTCACAGTGGCTCCTTTGAAACCAGCCCCCGTCACAGCCAACCGACCGTCCCTGGCGCGGGAACAGCTTCTCCCGAGAAAGCCATCCGCTCCCAAGCACCGAGTGACCCCCTGGGCTGGCGGTTCAGACCGCAGAGATGAGGAAATCATTGCTTGTCCTTAATTCTCCACTACGTAGGCAAATGGCCATACATATTTATGATGGGAAATTTCATTATTTAAAAATTCTGTTCTAAATTTCCAGCTAACTCCAGGAAGAGCGCCTGCCGAACAGGTTGCAAATGAAGAACAATTATTTTTCTCTTCTGCATTTGAATAGAACTTACAGCAAAAGTCATTTAAGGGGGTTAACATCAACCTTAATTAAATATTAAAGTGTGCCTGTACCTGCTGCTATTGTTGCCCCTTCGAATAAGATATAACCTATTTTTGACAAGTTTTCATCTTTCTCTGTGGAAGACGCTACATGAAACCAAATCAGCGGCAAAGAGGAGAGTAATGAATAATCTATTTCATATTCCAACAGTACCCAGAGCTCAGAGTGGAAAAATATGCAGTCGGATGACGGCAAGAGGCTGCTGGGGTACCACATGACACAGCTGATGTTTAAATAATAATACTAAAAAAGCGATAAACAAATCATTAGCCCTTAACAGTTGTTTAATGCAATTTGTTAATGAACGTAATGGTGAGGACTAATAATGAAAGAAAATAAAAACGTCTAAACAGGCGCCAAGTTGCTGGCGATGCGCAATTATTTCCTTGTCAAGTTTTTATGATTTAATGAGCCCCTCTGGGACTGATGGCTGTCAGTCAGTCGTGACTTTTTGACACCATTACAACTTCAAATACAGCAGCAGGCAGGCTGTTTTCCTCGGATTTGAAATACTGAAATGATCTGACAGTTTTAAAGAAAAGATGTGCCAAAAAAAAAAAAAAAGGAGAAAGAGAAGGAAAGGCAGTTGCTGTTCCTTCTTTTCTTTCTCTCTCCTGCTCCCTTCTTCGGTGGAGGAGATAATCTCTGGATGCTGCTTGGTAATGAAACCCAATCACCGAGGTCATTATCTGATGAGGTTTTGGGAACAGGCAGGCTTCTCCCCCGTCTTTATTTCTTTACTTAATGATAACCCTCAATGGGCTTGCCCCGCATGGGACGGCCAGAGCCGCACAATTTTGTTCGCCATTAATTTCAGCCTTTGAAGCTCAGGACTCAGAAGCAGTAGCAAAGCAAACCCCCCACCAAGCTGGTTCCAAAATAAGGCTCTCCAGCCTGCCTTAAACAGAATAGCAAATGGCCTCCCAGCCCAGGCTGGCGGCTGACGTCAAGCCTACAGCACTTGCCCGCATTCGCCTTCAGCGTGGAGCATTTAAAACTCTTTACAACTTGAGAGACTTTAATTAAATTGCTTTTGATTCCGGAGCAGGGAGCGTCTGCTTTATTTATTCTGGTAGGGGAGCTGTTTCGTGTGCTGTGGCTTTCACAGGGCGAGGGTCCCCTCCTCCTCGTCCTCCGCCGCGTCTTCGTCACCGACGCCCCAACCCCGCGTCGAACATCATTTTAAACAATATTCCCGACTTTAGAAATATTCATCAGTTGAAGTGTGCGTCGTAAGTTCCTAGAACCTTTCCCAGATCGACGGCCTGCTGTGAATCTGGGGGCTTTCTTCCTTCCCCGGTGGAGCACGGAAGGAGAAGAGCCAACCGGTCTGTCGTCTGTCTTAGGGTCCTTGGGCCTCTCCTACAACATCCAGGAGGGCCGGACAAGGAGCCCCAGGGACCTTGGGACCAGCTTCCTGCAAGGCACTCACCACCCGGGCTAGGGTCTCTCTCAAGGTGGGTTTGGTGGGGCTGCTAGGCCAAGGTGGTCTGTTCCTTTTCTTGCCTCTCGCCAGGTTGCGTTGGGGCGAAATCTCAGGCAAGAGCAGATAAACAGAACTCTAGAGAAGAGGCCATTGAGAGGCGAGCAACTCACCCCTTCTCCATCTACTTCAACATGAACACAGGGTTCTGGTGAAATATTTAGGAGCTGGTACGTTCTGATGATCAGATCCTCGCTGCGTGGCCTTGGGAAGCGCCTGGAAACGCACCTGAGCTCAGATCAACGGTTTCGAGGGAAGCCATCCGAGGCTGGGGATCTCCTTCCCGGCACCTGTGCTTCGGAACGGGACGAAACTGGGCTGTTTCTTGCTTTTAAATGGTTTCTTCGATGTGTTTACCACACACAGAATTCCGTTATCGGAATAAAGGGGCTCGCTGAGGTGCAACCCTAGAGCACACAGGAAAATCAGCCAAACCTCACACCACCCGCGAAGCAAAGGCTCTGTTTACACAACACCAAACGATCTCTCTGAGCACGGCTTCTCTGGTGGATTCTGGCATCCTGCATTTCTCCCGAACCCATCATGGTTCTCTCCGGGGGGGAGGGGACATACTCAGTGCTGCGTCTAGGTGATCTCCATCCATGGGCACGGGTGGTTAGCATTTTTTATGAAGAGAACAGGTTTGCTTTTCAAGGACTCAAAGCTTCCAATTATAGTCAAAAGACAGTGTGGACTGTGTGCCTATGAAGTCTTAAAGAAAAACACATTTTGCTTCATGACCAGGGGGAAAATGACCTCAGCGTGGGCAACTCGAAGCCTCATCATAAATGAACTCATTTTGAACGCAATTCCCCGTTACCGCGGACAGAAAGAAACCAAAGAAAACCACAAAGGCTGTTAGGGGTTTGGATACACAGTGAATTCAGCGAGGCCGCGCTGACATTTGTTAGTGAAAAACCCAAGCTGTCTTTCTGCACACGCTGCAGTCCCTGTGTCTTAAAGGTGGGTAGCGCACATTTTCCAGAGAGTTTATTCCTCGTGGATCACCCTATAGGACTCTACCATATTTATAATCACATTTGAAATTTCACACTGACGGAGTCATGTTCTTGCTCTTCCTGAAATATTCATGTTCTCTTTACATACTGGAATGGATGTGGAGAGAACCTTGTCAGACCTTTTGCATGTATGAGGGCTGCTTTTGGCAGCGCAAATATGAAAACCGAAAGGATACAGGAATGCTTACACAGGTCAGGGGAGAGGAGGTCACAATTAAATACGGTGCCAGGGCTCACTCTGCCGGCAAATTCTGGGGAGTCTGGGATTTGGGGCAGGTACAGAAATATTTCTCGTGGTCAGTAATCAGAGTTGCGAAAAGTGGATATTGGGCAGGCGCAGCAAAAATATTTCTTGGGGGTAAAAAAAAAATTATGTGTAGTAAAACAGAGAAAGTGCTAAGTCAATTTTCTGCACAACCGACTTTAAATACCCACCTTTACAGTGAAAGTACTCAGGCAGGGTGACTATATTCATTAACTGGGGCAGGAACAGGCTGGTGTGGGGAATCCGGTCAGTGCTCGGATCCCTGTTTTCTCTGCATTTTCATCCTCAGACATCACAGAAGGGCAATTCGGTGACAAGAGGTGTGTGACAAACAGCACAGCCCGTCAGAAGCCCCTGTGATAGGCTCATTATGCCCTCTCCCAAACCACGACCCCTGACATGTCCACAGGGCGAGGATGTCACCAAGGCTATTTTGGTCAGTAGGTGAAATTACCAAAAGGCAAATACACACTCACCTTCCCCTCTAAAAAAACAAATCTGGGTGGAGACAAACCTAGAAAAGGAAACCAGCCCACATGCAAACAGGAATAAAAAATATTTTTACACTCTTTGCACTCCAGCCGAACAGGGGTGCGAGGGAAGGAGGGTCACCCGGGGCCTGTCAGCGCAAAAGAATGATTCATGTGACCACTTCGTCTTAATTACTCAGAACAAGCCGCTGTTACTGTTTATCAAGGACGAGCCGATACATCAGTGTCTTCTGACGGAAAAGGTGATCGCCAGCAGGATGGTGATGACCAGGATGATGGCCAGGATGACGACCAGGACTCGGTTCTGGATGATTCTAGGAGACAGCAAAGGAAAGAGAAATTCACACAAATGGTCGGAGGACATTCTAACAAAGACCCCCCCAAGATCAAGTTGGCTAAGCAAACGGTGGCTTCCCAGGTCGGGGTGCGGAGCCTGGTGTGTGTACGTGTGCGTGCGTGTGCGTGTGCGACCACACAGCTTTTTGGTCCAGCGATTCACGAGGAAACGGACGACTCCTCAGCCAATGTCAGGCTGCACGCGAGAAACGCTTCCTGCACAGCCAACGTGCACCGAGTGGCTTTCTGGGCTCGGAGCGCCATGTGGTGATCTCGAGTGATCAAGGGCCCCGTGAGAGCTTCTCTTTTTAATTTAAAATGTGAGACAAGCCTCGTTTTTTTTTTTTTTTTTCTGCAGTGTTTCCAGTTAAGGTAACAGACTCCAAGGAAACATGTCAGCGAGGTACTCACCTGCACAAAAACACCTGGGGAAAAGTGAGAGAGGCTTAGGAAGGAAAGGAGGGATTAAGAAGCAAGTGTCAAGCTCGCGGCGCAGGCTGTGAAACCGGCATCTGTCGCTGAGGCTCACGCTCCGCGACGCCAAGGGGCAACGTTGCATTTGCTCCACAGCAGAAAAAGATGGAAATGAGATCTAGGAGAAAGGACCCGAGATCCTGGTGGGCTTGGGCTGGTGGGCCCTCATCTCCGGGGACTCTGACCCCTAGCGCTGGCTTTGTGGATGCTGATGGCGCACTGGGAGCTCAGACGGAGAAGCGGAGTGGAGACACCCACTCCAAGATGCCTGCAGGGAGCTTCTGATGAAGTTGTTTCATAATTTGTTACCTCACTCTGAGAAACGAGGTCGAACGTCAGAATACTTTGTGGAGACTTTCAAAGCGAACGGAGGTCAGACAGCCTTGCCCACGCTCACTCCCACAGAACCAACCTCACAAAAACAGAGAGTGGTTGGCAGTCTAGTTGGCTGTCCACCCAGCACAGACCCTACAGCAGACCCCATGTGCCCCTCCTCCAAACGCGAAGCACAGAAAGGTCTGCTGTCTCAGCTGGACACAGGTCACCGGGCTGGGCGTCCACGGGAAGAGCTGGTGGGTCGAGCCCAGCGTCCAGCTGAACAGAAACCCCGCCCTCCTGTTCACATCTTCCAGAAGAAATCTTTGCAGGATGGTCACAGCCTCTTCTAGCCTCAGGATGGGTTTCTGTCTCGGAAGGATGACAACACCCTCTGGTTTCAGTCGGATTCCTCCTTGCCCACCCCCTTCCCGCCCAAACCTACACGGATGGATGGAGACGGTCACATCAGACAGGCCCACTCCCTTCTGCCCCTGGAAGGACCGGCTCCCTCTCCTCCTGACAGGTTACAAAATGATCACATTTGCTGACACGTCTTCCGCAAAACTGCGTTAGTGCCTGTGTCCACTTTCCTGGAAGGAGATGAATGATCCGCTCCGTCCTCATTCATCACGCACGGCTCAGCTAAGATCTGTCTCGTTTATTTCTTCCCTTCCCCACTAGAAAGGCTGCGCCCCGACATTAATTCTTCTGCGATGACAGCTAATTCAGACTTAAGAGGCCATATTTACTCAGGAGGCAGGGAGATTCTCCACCCCCAAAATAAATAAATAAGAACAGGACTCCGCGGCGTGTTCAAGTGGGGCTAATTATGAACGCTGATCGGTGCTAGTTGTTAGCTTGATTTAAAACCCAAACTGACTCCCCCCCTTTCTCAGGAAAGGGCAGCCGTCTTCAGAACCGTCCCCACACATCACGTTGGCCCGAGTCACTGTCACAGTCTCTCTTTACCACAGTCACCCACGTCAGGCTCGCGAAGGAAATCAGCAGTGAAACAGATGAAAGGCATGGAAACTCTTTAAAATGCTGGCTTAAGTACTACTCGGTAGCCCGTCTCTTAGTTGACAACCATTTTATTGGTGGGTTGAGGGCCCCAAGGCAGCCATGGCGCTCATTTATAAAGGATTAACTGTGGGTATTACTTGTTCAATCTGAGGCACGGTTAGGAAAACAAATGCATCGGAACCCTAAGTACTCAGCCCTTCTCTGGCCATCCTCGTTGGGCTTCCCGCATCTCAAGGCAAAGAGGGGTACACTTCATCCGCGACCTTCCCAAACTGCTTGTACCGTTAGTTCACTCAGCAGACACCCCATCCCGAGACAGGCGTCCTGGGTCACAGACAGTCAGGAAGGGTGGCTTGCCCACTCCCTTCCTGGTGGGTCCACAGTCACCTCTCCTGCCCCAGGACATGGCAGCTCCTAACACACAGACATGTCCAGGGACAACGATGAAAGAACGCAGCCCTACCATCGTCATCCTTCCATGCAGGGGCGAATGAAGATCTGTGCAAATTTAACCTGCAGGAGCATCTCAGGGAGTCCGCCTAGAAAAGGCTGAAGTTCGGCGACGAAGGACCCCCTGCCTGCCCCCCCGAGATGGAGCGTCGTGCTGTCCTGCGTTCTCAGGGCCCGGAGGGCTTGTCTGCGCAGCTGGAAGGGAAGGTCCTCAGGGCAGTGAGGGCGTGCGGGCGGTGGAGGGGGCGGCAGGAGAGAGCGCTGGCTTTCAGACCGAAGGCTGGCAGATATTTGGGGTGAAGGCTTTAGAGAGCAGAAAGAGAGTGGGAGCAGACCGAGTGGGAAGTAAGCTTGACTCTGGCCAGGCCCTCGACCCAGCTCTGGATCTCAAAGGTGCTGGGCAGATACAGCACCTCGGAGGACCAGAAAAGTGAGCAGTTGGGCCCTTCAGTGCCCACCTGGGGACTAGGGAGGACAGAGGCTGGCACTGGTGGGCCGTCTGTGAGGAAGCCTGCTGTCAGGTATTGCTGTAGGCAAAGCAGAAAGGAAGGCTGAGTTTGGAGAGAATCTGAAAAACAGCCAGGAAGAGGGGTTCCTAGCTAGTGAGCCCGAGAAGAGACTTTGGGGAAGCCCAAGGTATCTTCCTTCTGAACTTCTGGGTGCAGGAATGGTGGGTGGGATTTATATTCAACGAGGTATGCACCAAGCAATCTTAATCTCCCTTCTGAAAATGCAAAGTGTGTTTACGCAGTAAATAATTTAAGAAAGAAGAATCACTTGAAAGGAGACATCCCTGCAACCAGCCAGGCTCCCTTGCCTCCAGGCACAAGCTTGCGCATTTGCATGCTGCACTCTATTAAGCGAGCACACTGTGGCTTTAAAAGAATGTAGACCAAATTAAAAGGAACGTGGGCCCAAAACATCAAGGATTCTCCAAGTTTACATTATGAATCACAGTGCTGTTGACACAAGATGAATTAACCATCTACTTTGAGGTTGCACTCACAAAGTACTATTGAAAAGACTGATCCTGCAGGAACCATGGAGGGGCTAACCTTTCCATTGCCAGCCTCCTCCCCTCTGGAAACCAGCGGCTGCATGTGGCAGCCAGAGTCGCAGAAGGCTGGGGAACGTGCAGTAGGCCAGGGAGGCACCTGGCACAGTTCTCTGCTCCTGTGTGAGGAGCCCAGGAGCTCCACCGTAGCAGGCGTTACTAGCATTCGCCAGCGTCCAGGTCTTTACTTCCAGGCACAGGTGCCCTTACCCATCACTGACGTTAGGTGTGGCCATGTGACTTGTTTCAGTCAATGAAATGCGAGCAGCAGTGCTGGGCATCACCTCCAGAGTTTGGCTCTCCAGCAGACTCTCCCCTTGCTATAGTGACTTAGGAGGCCGTAGGTTCTAGGGGTGCAGCCATGGGAGGTGGAGATCCCTTCCGTCTGAATCCCAGAGTCATCATACACAGGGCCATTGCCTGGACTCCCCGTGGATGTGTACTAAGCCCGTGAGAACCGGGGGTTGGCTGTCCTGCAGCACGACGTAAGCTGTCCTGAGTGATACACTACTGGCCCCCTTCTCCAGCAAGATGGGGCGTTTGGCCCAGCCAAGTGAGGCTCTGGTTTAATGTGTTCCAGAAGCCCAGATATGATAAGGGTTGGCAGGTCTTCTTTCCTTTAAGAAACAGGCTTTTGTGCCCAGCTGGTGTGGCTCAGTGGTTGAGTGTCGACCCAGGCACTAAGGGGTCGCCAGTTCGATTCCCAGTCAGGGCACAGGCCTGGGTGGTGGGCCTGATCCCATGGGGGGCATGCAGGAGGTGGCCAAACGATGTTCTCGCTCATCGATGTCTCTATTTCTCCCCTTCTCCCTCCTTCTCTCTCTAAAATCAATAAAGAAAAATTAAAAAAAAAAAAAAGAAACAGGCTTTTGCTGGGATCCTCTTTTGTCCATATTTGGTCGCTGAAGATGATGGAGTTTCCTCTAGCTGTACCCAACGGCAATGTGTGCTGATGAAAGATGGTGTCTCACATGACATTTCAGAAGGCTCAGCTAGACACTCTGTTTCTCATGTACAGCAGACAGATGTTGGTTGCATTCATTTATTCATTCCACCCATTTGACACCAGCCCTTCTCAAGGGGTAGAGCTGTGACCTAGGCTAAGATGGTCAGTGTGTTCCATGCCCTTGGCCACAGTGACTGGAATGGGCACATGACTTCAGCCAGCCTTAATAGAGTGAACCTCAGAAGCCTGAACGGTAATACTGGGTCATCTGGACAGTGAGGTGATGGATGTTAGGCCTGGATCTGCTGCAGCCATTTTGTTTCCATGAGGAAAACCAGCCTAAGAAAGAAGCTGAGCCATGGACGACAGTGGACTGAAAGAATGTCAGAGAAATGGAATCTCAGGCCTGAAGACCTGATGAACCTCTGCATCAAACCACCCTTCCTTTGAACTTTTAGCTATGTGAAAAAATAAATTCACTTTATTTTTCAAGTCGGTTTGAGTTAGGTCTTCTGTTACTTGCAACTAAAAAGCATTTTTTGGTGGATTCACCCTGATTCCAAAACCAAGTCTTTGATCTGTTTCCCCATCTCTTCCAAGAACTTCCTGACCACGCCCCTCCTCCGCTCTTAGAATTCCCTGTGCATCTCCCTTACCACCATGCTTCCCATAGTTTTCTGTTTCTCTGCGGGGTTCTCTAATAAAAAGTGGAC